GGGGGGGGGGGGGGGGGGGGGGGCGACTTTTTTTTCTTCAAATGTTAACCCCTATCTTGTGATACATTATTAGAAAGAGCATAAAAAACTAAGAATTTTGGCGCAAACCGCAAATCAATATCTTAATTTTTGACGGAGTTATGATAGGTCAAAGGTCAAATTTGACCTATTTTCAAAAAATCATATCTCCGGTTCAAACTATCGTAAAGAAAAAAAAACGGGAAAATTTACCAAATTGTAAGCACTTTCAAGTAAAAATCACAGAAATTACTTCAAACTAATTTTAAGGGGGATTTCGGACCCCCAAATACGTCATTTTAAAGGTCATACGATCTTGCGAAATGAGCCAATTTCTCCTTACTTTTCCTCAACATTATCTTAGTAAGTTCAAAATCAGTTCAACATTGCGTTTTCAAGTTCCCAAATTTCGAGCAAAGTTCAAAAAACGAAATTTAAGGTGATTCAATTCAACCATTTAAATTTCATTTTTTTTTTAAACTTTGTTGAGAGATGACAGAACAAAAATTTCGGTAAGAGATGAAGTTTCTGACATCGATTGCATCAAAGGGCCTGTTGCATGCAAGAGATACAGCCGTGCGAATAGACCTTTTAGCGGTTAAATGACACGAAAATTACGATGGTCACATTAAAAAAGTCTGAAATACACTCCTTACTGCGTAATTTGTGTTGTTAGGAACGCGCTTTTTCAAATTTCCCGCATCCGGGGGCAAACAATTAACGGCAACTCGCGCTTATTTCCGGTCAACTAAAACTGACAACATAACCTTAAAATTGGAGCTCGTGACATCGTGAAATGAAATGTAGAAGGATTGCCTTGGATATTTAAAAGTTGATCGATTTGGTTACCGCATAAAGCGTATATGGACCACAATAGGAGATCACGTTGGGTTTGAAAACAAACTGAAGGAAAAAATAACAACAACAACAACGACTCGGCATCTTCCGGAAATCACCGAGCCCGCCGTTTGCTCGTTTCGGGTAGAGTCCCTTTATAACGAGAGTCAAGACAACACACCTCATGGAGTCACAAACGGGAATAAAGATTACAGAAATTGAACGTTTTTTGTAATCTTTGATCGGCTCATTCTTAGATTCCTTTCTCCGTTCCTTCTTTCATTCCGTTTGTTCCTTGTCGAACCCGAAATTCCTCGGTCCATTCCAGATTATAATCTTTGCAATTGGTGAAAATGTAATCTTTATTCCCGTTTGTGACACTGTCACAGATTAGTCCAGATCGCTAACATCCAATCTAGCCAATGCTTCAGAAGCGTGAGTAATTTTTGCTACAGGTTAGGCAACTTTAGAAAATTGATGGCACTACCAGTAGTGAAAGAACTTGACCAGATCGAGAGAAATTTCCTATTGAATCTGATTATAAAGCTTGAAAAAAGTATAAATAGTAATGTGTAATAATGGTTTTTGATCAAATAAGATTTTATCAAGTACTGTTATGCTAAGTATTCTGTTCCAATATTCTTACAACAGTTGGTAGCAATTAACTGCTCTCATGGGGGCCTGGCGGGAATTCAAAACTAGGAACCAAAAGTCTCATTTTGGCAGGATTTTGCTTTAATTTTCGGTTTCTAAGGCTTTAAACTTCAAAAATATGATATATTATAATCTGCAAATTTTTTCAATAATGTTATCTACTCAGTATACTGATGAACTCTGATTTGTTTATTTCCATCGATAAAGCACAAAAACATAGCCCGATTATACGAATAAAGAAGGAGAATTAATTAAAATACGGGTAAACAAGGCTAAAAATTATTGAAACACTTAAAGACAGGACGTTTCGAGCTGCTACCAGCTCATTTTCAGCTGCAAAAACAAGTAAAAAATTGAGTGGCGACCTGACCCCAGCCGTTATTATGAGTGGTTACGTGATAACGGCTGAGGTCACAGGTTGCCACTCAATTTTTTACTTGTTTTTATGTGTTTTTGCAGCTGAAAATGAGCTGGAAGCAGCTCGAAACGTCTTACCTTTTAGTGTTTCAATAATTTTTAGCCTTGTTTACTCGTATTTTAATTAATTCTCCTTCTTTATTTATTTCCACCTTAATTATTTAATCTGGAAATATTGAACCACATAAATTCTACTGAGAAACTAATTCTTGAATTCTTCGGAACGTTTCATCCCACAAAAATCTGAAAAAGAAGTATTCTCCCGCCGAAAATCTGCTGAAAATAGCCAAAATTTCAGTTTTGGTTCCTAGTTTTAAATGCCCATGGATTTTCCCGCCAATGGCGCTCACAAAACTACTCACGCTCCTCCGCCGATGTTAGCGATCTGGACTAATCTGTGCACTGTGAAGGCCTAAAATCCGGTTGACCAATCAGAAATGGATTCGCATTGTCTTGACTCTCAGTATAAAGGGACTCTAGTTTCGGGTGATTAGAAAACTGCCCCCAGACGCGCGAAATTTGAAAAAGCGCGTTCCTAACAACGCAAATTGCGCAGTAAGGAGTGTATTTCAGACTTTTTTAATGTGACAATCGTAATTTTCGTGTCATTTAACCACTGAAAAGTTTATTCGCGTGGCTGTATCTCTTGCATGCAACAGGCCCATTCAAAAATTTAATTCAAGTCCCGAGGTGAATTCGAAATTTCAAATTGATGGATTTCAACGGTCTCTGGTGAGACCAACGAAGAAGTCAAATATCATTACATACATAGAGTCGTAATGTAATTGGGAGAGCTGGCGCCACTTTTAAGCATTTTCCATGTCCCGAATTCCGAGACTCCTGTGTGACGCCGGATCACTTTTTCGATACACAATCGATTGTTCGTGATACACGGGTACCCGGCCATCCGATGACAACAACAACAACGGAGATAGGAATTACCACGTATTCCACACCGCCATTTTGGATCGAAAATGTATCGAAAAAGCGACCCGAACTCGGCGCACACCGGGCTCGGAATTCGTCGAGCAGAACATGGCGCCAGCTCTCCCATTTACATTACGACTCTATGTGCTCTATGCGCGCGTCTAGCTCGCAGGTGTATTTGCCCCTTAAACCGGCATTTTGAGAAACTTGTGACGCGTAAAGGGCGCGGGTTGGCTTTTACTACCCGGTACTATGTGACGTCATCAGGATACGAAATGCGATCGTTTCAACAAGTCAAGAGGCGGATGGTGGTCGCATATCGTACCCTCTTGACGTCACACGGCATCGGGTACGTCTCGGGTACACTGATTGCATGGCAAAGCATGTTGATGTACCTTCTGCGCGTCACAGCCTTTAAAATGGCGGCTCAACTAGAAATGCGACCACCTTTCTTTATCCGCCTTAACTTACAAGTTTAGTCCAGTCCCAGTCCTTAATTTGCGTGAAAGCAGGCTTCAATGGCGGCATGGCCAATGGTTGCAATCGAGACAGTGCCGTGTCGATGCAAACTTTTTGTAATTATTGTAGTCAGCATTTCTTCACATTTCTTGCGTGTGAAATTCCTCTTAGTTTAGTTCACAATTTGAAGAATAGTGCCTTGTGTCTGTCGAACGTGGTTTCGGAAGTAGCATTGCGTAGTTTGCTTGTGTATGTTTCTCATGCGCTGTGTTTTTTTGTCGAACCCTCGATCCCCAAAATTCCAGCGTTCTGCACCTGGCCATCCTGGCAACACTGAGTTTGAGCGTGGCTAGCCCTTTGTTCCTCGATTTATGAGGTAAGATTATTCAAGTTTGTGCGAAATTCATTCGAGAAACCGATAATTTTGCTGTTATTTAAGTTCAATTCTAATGTTTTAAGCGTTTCCAACCCCTCCTGTAGTTCAATTTCCCCTATATGCGCGTGTATTACACTTGTTCTTCTGTAGGTGCGTGTGAGCCTATTCGGTGCCTATGTGAGTATTGACATTAACGAACAGGCGTTTCTCAGTTCGCAATTGAGTTCCACTTTCTGCGTAACATCCACCACTTTGTATCTCTTCACTGCACCCCACCCGAGGATTTGCAAGAAGTACATCCTGTAAGTAAATGCATCCAATTTGCATTGATAATTTGCATAACTTCATCCCATTATTAATCACCTATGGACGATGCCTTTGGAGTGATTTTTACCCTACTGTTACTGAATTTTCCAGATTTTGATCCGTCTTCTGTACGTAGTTTTGATTCATTTAAGTTGCCTGACTCTTAGGTCATTGGCTAAATGTTATGGATTGTTGCATCCATAGAGTTGGAGTTAGTCTTGCTGGAAGATGCCCAGGTTGAAAAGCAGCACTAGACCACTCAGATAAACTTTGAATTGAAGCACTAAGCAACATACTTTCTCTTCAATTCAAAATACCTGAAGGAAAGGAATCTTGTAATGGGAAGTCAGAGGATCGATTCCTCTTCAGAAGCAACTGATTCTTCTCAACATTGGTTGCTTAAATGGCGCAATTTTAAACCAAGCCATTTGTTGAGCTTGCTCATTGCATGTTGAGACACAAACATGTCAGTCCAAGTTCAGACCTAAATCAGCACTTCAAACGTCAATGCATGCAATCAGATGGCGCCATCGGTGGGTTATGACGAAAACAATACCTTATCTTTTTTCTGCCAAAGTATCACAAGTCCTAATTGGATTGCATATTGCTTGAAAGAATTAAGAGTATTCCAATGTTGCTAGGATTGAGCAACTCACATTCTCTGCAAGAAATCACATAAATCTCGCCAAAAATATCAAAGTAAATTTTGGCTTGAAGTCTTAGTTTACTAGGAATGAAAATCAAACTCCTTGAGTCGCTGGGTATCTATTTGCCAGGCCAAAAAGTTGCACAATGCTCTTGGTTCCCTTTCGCAAAATGTAATCTAATTGGTGCCGACCTCTCTAAGACTAATGAGAGTAAGTAAATCAAAAAGTCATTAGCGATTGACGGAAACAGAACGGAGTCTGAATGTTTGGTGTAAATGTGTAGTATCACTCCTAGCATCTGATGGTATTAAGTAATTTTTGAAGAGACCAGTCTTATTAAGTGTCCATTTGGTGCCTGCAATACTCAGATTTGAGACCTCAAGGTATTCGTAATAAGCTGTTTTTCATTTATCTAGAGCTGGGAAAAGAAAAGAATAAGACAATTGTTACATCCAAAAATTTCACCATTCAAAAGATAGGTACATTCTAACTAATGGGCGATCTGACGATTGATGCATTCAAACTCATGTGACTTTTTTATATTCTCTTCTTTCCCTAGTTCTAGCAAGTTTTAATTGAAGGCTGATTGATATTAGATGTTTTTCATTAAGTTTAAAATTATAAGGTTTGACAGCTGAATTTTTATTTTTAACCATAAAGAGTCCCTGAAAGGCAGTCCGTATTATAATTTGCCATTAATGGCGTTTGTGATACCCAGACCAAAGGGTGATATCTTGATTTCTGTTTTGAATTACGATGATTGAGCTCTGTAAACTAAGTGACTAGAGTTGGGGAAAGAAATGATGAGTCAAATGTCATCTTGACAAATGGAACCATTTTCTTTAAAGAACCCCGCACAGAGCATGGGGTCAGTGGCTCTCTCTAAAAGTCGATGAAACTTTAATACATTGATATAAAGTTCATATTAAGGGAAAGCCAAAAAATTAGCTCACTTTTGCGAGTAGGAGCCGAGATATTAGCAATTGAATCCGGACTATTTTCTATCATGCCGCAGCATGGCTAAAGGATTCCGGGTCTCCTCTCCTCTCGTTGTTCAGCGTTCTCAATCAGACCTGCTCATGCGTTCGGCCGGTGCGAATGCCAACTCCCTCCCTCTCCCCGTATCTGTCAATTCTGTTTCAGCGACTACATTTCAGATTCAACCGGCCGGCGAACGCATGGGGATTCAAAGAGGGTATACGTGAGAGGAGCGAGAGGCAGAAAACTCCATATCTCACAGCCCGAATGTCCGAATGAAAGGAGTGAATGTAAACAATGCGACATCGTAGTTACCTGGTGGGGAGAGGGGGTTTCCTGGCCGAAGTGCTCAAGCCAGGCAAGGTTAGGCGACGCGGAGCGCCCATTTACCTCCGCCGGACAGAAAATAGTCCGGATTCAATTGCAAATCTCTCGGCTTCTACTCGCAAAAATGAGCTAATTTTTTGACTCCCTTAATTATGAACTTTATATCAATCTATTAAAGTTTCATTGACTTTTAGAGAGAGCCACTGACCCCATGCTCTGTGCGGGTTCTTCACATGGTTACCAATCGGCCAACCTATGATTGACGCATTTAGGTTAGTGTGATTTGTATCCCATTTTTCCTTTCCCTTGTTTCTATCATCTGATCTGTGTCGAGAAGACTTGTCAATATTTTGCTCAGGAGTTGATTTCCATAGGTCCTGTTGTAAGAATCGTATTCTACTAACCTTTTGTGAAAACTTGTGACATTTCACCTCTCGTACAAGCCTTGTCTAGTGGCCCCTTTTTTTGACAGTGGAATCAGTCTTTAATCTTAGCGGACAGTCTTTTAGTCTTCACTAAAAGACTTTAATTATATTCTCATTTTCAAAATTATTCTGCTGATCATCCCCTGCAATGCTGTATCTGCTCGATTTCAGCCACGGAATGTTGGAACATCTGTCCCATGTACTTTTCCCCTCTGCCTTATTTAACTACCTTATCAAATCAATTCAAGGCGACAACAGACAGGGAAAGCCTGCAAGTTGGGGAATCTGTAAAAACCTAGCAGTTTAGGCAATTTTATTTATTTATATTATTTTATTAGGGGGCTACGCCCCTTGGCCGCTACGCGGCCCAACCCGGTGAAGGCGCTCCGCGCCATCAATGGGCCGCTTCGCGGCCTTATTTTTACCTTCCTATCAGTGTTAGTTTTATTTTTCCCCTAAAAAATTACGATATGAGGTATACTTTAATTTTAAACTTTACTTAAAATTACTTTAAAATTAAAAGGACGCGTTTTGGAATGACTGATTGATGAAATATTGCAGTAAAACAATGAACAATGATAGTCAGGTAATAATTAAGATCTCATGAGACGGGGATCGATCCCACATTGAGTTCATTGTGGACGCACTCGACGTCTTAGACGACTCGGCCACCGCTCTACTTGAGGATCACGGCGCGATTCTTGTGGAGATAAGTGTAGAGCTGATCCTTCCAAAAAAACAAAAATATGATTTTTGTACAAAATTTCGGCCCAATCCAAAAAATTTCACGAATTACAAAAAAAAAAAAAATAAAAAAAAAAAAAAAAAAAAAATCAGGCACCCAAAAAATATGATGG